AAACTAGAAAAATGAAATCTGTGTCAATTGTATTATAAAGGGGAAAAGGGGGATAAAGGAGAGTGATAATGAAGTTGATGGGGGATGTTGCATGCATGTATGGAAATCTCAATTCGATGGCCCTTATATAGGCTGATAAAAAGTTTCAAAGTTTAAAAAAATAGCAAAAGCTCTGTCAATCAAGAGAGACAAAGGATGGGGCTCTGAATGATGTGTAAAGAAAGGATTAACATTTCTGTTATATTGATACTGAAATTAAGGATTATAGAGATGAAAGTATTTGCCTTTTTGGCTAGCAAAGTGCTTAATTCAGATTAGATGCACTACAAATATTTGTTGAGTGAATGAATGATTCAATAACTAGTGTAAAGCCTTTAATACAACATACTTAAGCCTGCTGTCAGAGATCTGGCTAGTAGCTGTGGGTAGAAGAATATGGTGTTGACACTGGAAAGAGACAATTTGTGGCAGCGTAGTTTTTTATTTTTTTTTCAGTTTGAATGTTGGTTTGCTATCTGGTGTGCCATAAACTCAGGGTTTGTGCTTGCTAGACATATGCTCTACCACTTGAGCCATTCCTCTAGCTCTTTCTTGCCTTAGTTACTTTTCAGAGAATTTTTTGCCCATGGCTAATCTCAAACCATGATCTTTCTATCTACCACCTCCATCATGTATAGTTTATTGATTGAAATGGAGGGTCTCCTTTTTTGCCCAGGCTGGCCTAGAACCAGTCTTTATAATCTGTGTATCCCCATAGCTAGGAACAAGTCAGATTTTAAATAGTGTTCTCACCAACCCAACCTTTTGCCTTCTGTATCCTTCCTACCATTGCCTGCCTACCCTTTCTCCCATTTCTATCCACACAAGTCATTTGTATTCTCTAATGCTTTAAACCTTGAGCATAATCATTAGGCACTTATCCCACTATCACAATGAAGTAGAAGATCTAAGAAAATAGGAGCAAAGTTGCCCTCAGATATAGTGTTTCATGTATGTGACAGGTGGCAATCTCAATAAACACTGCTTATAAATGATAAATTATATTTACTGTAATCCTTATAAATGTCACATTTTACAGGTCAATTGGATATTACTAGTTACTATTATCTACATTGACATCTTGCATGACTCACTGTATTGAAATGGTTTCATATCTACTATACAGGGAGTTAGAAGCCTGATCTGTTAAGGAACTTGGCAAGTATACATTGACAGCTCCATAATTTTGTGATTATTACCTGAAGATGTAACTTCAGAAATGTGAACAGGGGAGAATGATACAATGGGATGCATGTGTGGCAGAAGTTGTTCCCTGCATAGTAACTGAGCCAAGGTTCTCAAAAAAAAAATCTATAGAAGACCTGGGTCCTATATCCTACATCGCCAGGAGGCCACTTAAACAAGTTTCTAAGGCAATTCTTAGACAAGCTGATCAGTTTATTTGCCTTGTGTTTCTTTCTGGTCATTGTCTGCACAGTCGGCTTGGTGCCTCCTCCTCTGTGATCTCAGATACACAGAGAAGATCAACACTTGTACCATAGATACTTCCACCTCCCTGTAGGCCACTATGAAGCATAGACGAGAAACTTGCATAATCACTTGAAAAAAGTAATAAAAGGGGCTGGGAAGGTAGCTCAGTGGTAGAGTGCTTGCCTTGCATGCATGAGGCCCTGGGTTCAATTCCTCAGCACCACATAAGCAAAAGAAAAAAGCCAGAAGTGGCGCTGTGGCTCAAGTGGTAGAGCGCTAGCCTTGAGCTGAAGATCTGAGGGACAGCGCCCAGGCCCAGAGTTCAGGCCCCACGACCGGACCCAAAAAAAAAAAAAAGTAATAAAAGTTCAGTGTAGGAATGGAATAGCCAAAAAATGAAGGAAAAGAAGTTTAATGATGAAAAAAACAAAAACAAACAAACAAAAAAAACAGAATTAGCTCTGATAAAGGAACAGGCCAGAGAACATAAAGAGCAAAGACTAGATTTTCAAATTTTTTTGTTAGTTGAATACAAAATATAAACTATTTCTTATCTCATTAGAAGACCAAGAAAAAAAAAGGGAAATAACAGGAAGGGTCTGTTCATAGTAGAAATAAATATAAATTAACTAGGACCCCACGACCGACCAAAAAACAAATAAAGAACACTTATAAAAAATAAATTAACTAGGATTAAAAATTTTTAAAGGTATATGACTTATATGGGGAAAGCATTGGAAAATATTTGCAAAAATAGACCCTATTAGATAAGAGTTTGGTAAAAAAACAAAACAAAACAAAAAAAATCCAAAAAAGAAGATGGTATATTCAATGGGGGAAGTGGATCAACTAATAGTGTTAAAATAACTGATTATCTATCTGGGAGAATCCAAACTGATCCTTAAGCAGTATAAAATATTCTCTTATTTAAAAATTTTTTAAAGCAAACCTATGGGACTCAACAAATAATAACAGTGGGGTATAGAGGTGAAAGATCAAAGGAAATTGAAATATATGTGGTAAGTATAGGTTCATAGCCATACCCAAAACAATTGAGTGCCTATGGCTTATATCTATAATCCTAGTTACTCAGGTGGCTGAGATCTGAGGATCATGGCTCAAAGCCAGCCTGGGAAGAAAAGTCCAAGAGTCTCTTATTACTAGTTAACCAGCAAAAACCTGGAAGCAGAGGTGTGGCTCAAGTTATAGATCATGAGTCTTGAGTAAAAAAGGCAAGCAAGAGTACAAGCCCCAGTTTAAGCCCTACCCAATAAACTGAAAGGATGCAGTAGTGGCCATGATAATGGAAGTTAAAGTAACAATTTGGAATAATTTGAAGCCATCTCACATTTCTGGAAGTATGAGTTATTTTTAGGGCATGTTTATACCTAAAGTTTAAGAGAAAATAAACAGCCTCAACTTTGGAGCCCTGTCCTCTCCCTTTCTCTCCTCTCTTTTCTCCCTTTTTCTATGTAGCTGGGGCTGGAACTTAAAAGCATGTGCTACCATACAAGATGATTTCCTAAAGTTTTGTTAAAATAGAAAAGCAAAATGTAGAAATATGTATATTCTTATGTTTGTGTGTGTGTGTGTGTGCGCGCGTATGTGTGTGCGTGTACTGGTACTGGCTTGAATTCAGGGTCTATGTAAACTCCCATTTATACCTTTTGCACAAAGCTAGTAGTGTTCTACAACTTGACCCACACCTCCTCATTTGCCTTCTTGCTGGCTAAGTGGAGATAAGAGAATGAACTGGGTTTAAACCATGATTCTCAGATTTTACCCTCTTAACTAGTTGGGATTTACAGGTGTGAGCTATCAGCACCTAGCTTTCTTTATTGTTGGACATGTGGCTTGAACCCAGGGCCTGTCCTTGAGTTCTTTTGCTCAAGGCTAACACTCTACCACTTTAAGTCAGCTCTCCTTCAGGTTATCTGGTGATTAATTGGAGATGAGTCTCAGTCTTTCTTGCCCTGGCTGGCTTTAAACAGTAATAATCAGATCTCAGCTTTCTTGAGTAGCTAGGATTAGAGGCATGCGCCACCAGTGCCTAGCTCCTAGCTTAAACTTTAAAAAAAAAAAAAATCCTAACCAGGAAAAAAAATAGCCATAAATGGTTATGGATGTATAAAAAACAGGCAAAGTTTGGCAAAGGGGAGCAAGGACATGAAGTACTTGTATTATGGACTTTACGTGGACTGAGAAGCAGCCTGCACTGGTGGCGCACACCTATAATTCTAGCTTGTCAGTAAACATCTGAGGATTGAAGTTTGAAGCCAGCCCAAGACAAAATGTCCTTGTGATTTCTATGTCCAATTAACCAGAAAAAAAGGCTACACGTATATGTGGCTCAGCAGCATAATGCCAACCATGAACTAGCATGGGGCTACGGGTTCATGTAGTTCTAGTACTGGGACTCAAAACAGCTGGGCATTGGTAGTTTACACCTGTAATCCTAGCTACTCAGGAGGCTATCTGAGGGTTGCAGTTTGGAGCTAGCCAACAAGGAAAGTCTGAGACTCATCTCCAAGTAAGTCCCTAAAAAAGCTGGAAGTGAGGCTGTGACTCAACTGGTGGAGTACAATGCTAGCCTTGAGCAAAAAACAACAAAAAAAACTCCGGGTCAGCACTCAGACCCAGAGTTCAAATTTTATGACCAACACACACATGTAAACTGAGGGAGGAAAGCAGTCATTAAATTATTTTTTCTAGGAAGTAGGATTTACACATATGTAAAAATAAAAATTTTAAACGGAGTTAAAATTGGCTCCCCATGAAGGGTTTTCTGTCAAATGTGAAAAAAAAAAAGATTGGCATTTGAATCCCAGAATTAAAAATTGCAACCATTGAAAGGGGCGTGCCACTAACACGTCATTAGATTTAGTGATGTGGTTCCACCAGGGTGGAAAATCCTTCATATGAAATACCACTCACTCATATCCAATCAGGGAGAGCGCTTGTTTCTTTGAGAGGAACCTGGTCAGTGATCTTGAACAGCAGCTCTGGAACCCCCACAGCTGAACTTGACAATGGCTCCAATCAAGCCAACAGCCTGGAAGTCCAGGGCCATGTCCCCGCAAGAGCGACTGGTGCTTCCAGCTGTTAGGGCCCCACGGGACTGTAGCTAGTGGAGCTCATCTGTTCACCCTGTAAGGGACAACCGTGAACAAGCCACACCTGAGGGCATAGCCTGGTATGGCTTCGTTCCCCCCTAGTTTCTAGCGTCCCTTAATTTCATGCTTACTGTTCTGTGGGGGACCCATGATGGCCTGGCCTTCTGAGCTTAAGCTCAGAAGCTTAAGCCTGAGCCACCGGCAGACCTCAGCTTTGACGGGCGGCTGGTTTACAGGTGGGATCTCCCCTGCGGGCCCTAATATTTCCTGGGTGTTCCCAACATGGGAGAACAGTACGAGCAAGCCACTGCTTGAGAAGAGCAAAGGCTAACTGCAGTGTTTAAAGCTCTTTCTGCGTAGTTGTAGGTGGCTCTTAAAAGAGCCGTTGGTTTGCTAGAAACTTCCAACCACAGCTGCTTACTTTTTCTTGGGGGCTGCCTTCTTGGGCTTGGCGGGGGTCTTTGGCTTCGTCACCTTTGCCTTGGCCACCTTAGGCTTGATAGCCTTGGCTTTAGCAGGGCTTTTGGCTACTTTCTTCGGCTTCACAACCTTAGGCTTCTTGGGGCTTTTGGAAGGCTTCTTGGGCAGCGCGGGCTTCTTGGCCTTTTGGGGGGTCTTGACACTCTTCTTAGCCGCGGCCCCCGCCGCCTTTCCGGGCTTCTTGGAAGCAGCGCCGGCGGCCTTGGGTTTGGCGGCCACTTTCGTGCCGCTGGCTTTCGGCTCAGGAGCCGTTCTCTTAGCGAGCTTGAAGGAGCCGGAGGCGCCGGTGCCCTTGGTCTGCACCAGGGTGCCTTTGCTCACCAGGCTCTTCAGACCCAGCTTGATGCGGCTGTTGTTCTTCTCCACATCGTAGCCCGCAGCCGCCAGCACCTTCTTGAGCGCGGCCAGAGACACCCCGTTGCGCTCTTTGGAGGAGGAAACGGCCTGCACAATTAGCTCCGACACTGAAGGGCCGGCAGGCTTCTTGGCGGCGGCGGCGGCCTTGGCAGGCTTCTTCGCCTTCTTGGCCGCTGGAGGCTTCTCAGGTACAGTAGAAGTAGCCTGCGTGGCGGGCGGTGTCTCAGACATAGCTGCAGGAAAACACCCAAGTCAGCAAAATCGGACAAAGTTGTGACTCCGAGGGCGAGGCCTATTTATAGAGGGGGGTGTGCTGTGATTGGTGGGCGTTTTAAAGCCCGCCTCTACACCCACGCGCCTCTGGAAGGCCCCTGGAGGATTGTTTAGGACTGTGGTTCGGCTTCCCTTTCCCGCGCAAATGCACCCGCAAAGCTTTCCTAGTCAACTCTTTGAGGTGAAAATCTTAGATCGATGTTGCACTGTACCAGCAAAGGATGCCATTTCCCAGACTCATATCCAGTTTAACTTGGATTTAGAAAAGTCTTTGGAGAAGTTCACTGGTGGTTTATCAAGGAACGTGCAAGATTATCCTGAATAATGGGGAACACAAAAGGAAGATATGATTGTAGGCATTGTCAGTAGGTCTTCATCCTTATTGTATTTCCTGATAAAGCTGAAGGTGCACTTTTAATATGTTTTGGCCAGAAAAATGAACCATAGAAAACTCTGGAATTCACTGACCTAAATTAACATTCGTACAATTTGGAAAAGAGTAAGCAAACATTTCCTGCAACGTAATATAGTTCAGTAGTACGATTTTTAACATTTCGCCTTACATTTAGCCCAAATGGACTCTGTTTTCAACCTTTTCACAGTCAGCATATAGCATATGGGCACAGTTACTTTTACACAAAAAGATGAGGCTCAAGATCGCTTTCCTGACAGGCATTGTCCCAAACTTTGGTTTCTTTAGGTAACAAGAGCAATATTGCAAGATTTAAGTTCTACCTTGTTTATGGCTGTAAAGAGCATTTCGAGCAAATAGCACGCTACCACTATTTCACATTGCGAATCAATAAACTAATGGGAGAATAAAATGCTATCAGACTTATCACCCACAGTCCCAAATGCCCGGTGCTCAGGAGAGCCAACCACAGCTTATTCTCCCGCGTTTTGTTGCGGTTTTCAAATAAGTCCGCAGGAGCCTATCAACCTGAGATTTGCGCATTTGAACTATGAAGCCGATAAAGTTCTAGGCTCATGCCCATTTCCCTACCAGTGTTTTCAGCAATTTATTTTTATTTAGAATTGGTTTCCAAACGTGTCATGTACCAAGAATTTGGCAGAGAGCAATTGGAAACAATCACAAATCCTGGTCTGAAGGATAAACGCAAAGCTCAATTTTCAAGTAACTCCTCTATGAAAGACAAAAAAGGGGGGGGAAGATATTCTCGATGTAATAAGCAAAGCTTCGGTCCAAATGCCGCTGTGTTATCTGACTCAAATAGGGGTTCCTGTTTCCTATTATGTTAAACTGCCTTTAGATAAAAATGTGATGCTCCATGCAAATGAAGGATGCTGGATCTAGTTTCTTAATGGCTGCTGAGTTAAGTGTAATGAACCAATCAAAAGGTAGTATCGGGAATCCTCCTGCTAATGTCTGTATGAGAAAGCTACCCCGTGTGCTCTTTCTTAAGATTATTCCCTTTGCTGTCTGGACTTCTGAGGTTGCTGTAGGGCTCTTTCCCTGCTTCACTGGGGCAACAACTTTTACCTGGTTGAAGGTGGCCCATTTATATGCCTGTAAGTGGTGCTAGCTCCAGCCACTTCCTTTCGTCTGCCTAGTTATACCTTCGCCCTTTAAAAATATAACAGCTTGAGAAAGGCTGATATACTGCATAACGTTGAGCATGGATATTTAATTTTTTAAAAAGTCTTGAACAGAAAGTGGTATTCGAGCAGTCATGTGTCTTACTACGAGATTATGCTCTGTAAATTTCAGCAAGATTTCCCTAACAAAAGACACTGCATTTGTAAAAAGCTCTCGAGAAACTCCACATTGTGTAGACCAACAAGGAAGTGTAAAATATTTCAGGGGAACAGGTGCCCAACATTTAGTTTCTTGCGCCGCCTCCCTTCCCCCCGGGAATAAACCTTAAAATTATGGAAGTTAATTCCTCTGCTTTCACACATAAAAAAAGTACGTATCAGGCTACAACAACCAGAAGGCACAAAAGGAGAAAAAAAAAACCATTTTAAACAGGTAAGGGGTGAATCTGAAGAAAATGAAGGATTAAAGATAAACCAATCAGAGCCTGTGACGTCACAGATGGAAGAATTTTTGTCCAATCACTGCACTTTGCATACTATAAAAATGAGCAACGTTGGCTGTTCACCACTATACTCTGGCTTTGTTCTGTCATGGCTCGTACAAAGCAGACTGCTCGTAAATCCACCGGTGGCAAAGCGCCCCGTAAGCAGCTGGCCACTAAGGCTGCTCGCAAAAGCGCGCCAGCTACCGGTGGTGTGAAGAAACCTCACCGCTACCGGCCCGGGACCGTGGCATTGCGTGAGATCCGCCGCTACCAGAAGTCTACTGAGCTGCTGATTCGCAAACTGCCGTTCCAGCGCCTGGTTCGTGAGATTGCGCAGGACTTCAAGACTGACCTGCGCTTCCAAAGTTCCGCTGTGATGGCGCTGCAGGAGGCATGTGAAGCTTACTTAGTGGGTCTTTTTGAAGACACAAATCTCTGTGCTATCCATGCCAAGCGAGTGACCATCATGCCCAAAGATATCCAACTGGCACGCCGCATTCGCGGGGAACGTGCGTAGTTGCACTGCTATAAGCACCCACCAAAGGCTCTTTTCAGAGCCACCTACGTTTTCAAGTAGAAGAAGCTGCTTTCCCTTGGGTTCTCAATATGTGGCTTAGCAAAAGCATTCTTGACGAGCTATAGCAGTGAAGTCACTGTACCCAATGGTATGATAATGAACGGTGAGCCCGGCCTTCTAATAGTGGGGAGCGGGAAAGTTAGCGGTTCCGGCGTCTGTACGAAGTGGTCCGCGGGTCGCTTGTCAGCTCCGCCCCTAACTGCTGGTCCATCCCCTACCCTGAGTCGTAGGCCAGACAATAAGCTTGGTCTCCGAATCCAAGGCGAAAGCCGAGTCCTGTTTGCAAAAATACAGCCAAATTCTGTTGGTGTTCCCTGACCCGAGAGAGAGAAGTCTTAGGGAGAAAACGAGGTCCTAATACCCTCATATAAACAAATGGAATGGAGACCACGAGTTTTAAAAATCATTAATTTCAAATTTGGTTACTAAAACAGCTGCTGAAATTACTAATTGAAATCAATTACAGGACAGTTAAAGCCAGTTTCCAAGGCCCCTCCCTACAGCCGTTTTCTTGGCTTGGAGGAGGGGTTAAGGGAGGGATCGCTTGCGTCAGAATTGCGCAGGCGCGCTGCCTATTCTCGGCGTCTCCAAGGGGGCGGGGCGAAGGGAAGGAGCAGATATATAAGGGCGAACTCTCGCCTTCCCTTAGCTTCTCTGGTTGCAGTCATGTCTGGACGCGGAAAAGGAGGAAAAGGCCTGGGGAAGGGTGGCGCCAAGAGGCACCGCAAGGTGCTGCGCGATAACATTCAGGGCATCACCAAGCCTGCCATCCGGCGCCTAGCTCGCCGCGGCGGCGTCAAGCGCATCTCTGGACTGATCTATGAGGAGACCCGCGGGGTTCTGAAGGTGTTTCTGGAGAACGTGATCCGTGACGCTGTCACCTACACGGAGCACGCCAAGCGCAAGACCGTCACCGCCATGGACGTGGTCTACGCGCTCAAGCGCCAGGGCCGCACCCTCTACGGCTTCGGCGGCTAGTTCGTGCTGTCGCTTTCATTTATGAACCAAAGGCTCTTTTCAGAGCCGCCCACTTGTTCAAAAAGAGCTGTAATGGTGTCGGGAATTACAGGTGAAAGCTTGGCACATCTCTTTCTTATGCATAACTACTTACACTTACGGGGATGATTTTGAAAGTATCCATCAGCGTTTTCTCTCAAAATACTAGGAAGTTCTTGCCTTTTTGAATTGTTTTCCCCTACGGTGGTGAAGCTCCAGGTGCAGTTTATAAATTTGTTAAAGCAACAAGGCGAGAGCTATACTTGCATTGCTGGGAGCAAATACATGGGGGGGGGGGGTCAGAGGGCAAGGAGAGATAAATTTTTTTTGGGGGGGGAGCCCAGTCGTGGGCCTGAACTCTGGGCCTGGGCGCTGTCCCTCAGCTCTTCAGTTCAAGGCTAGCGCTCTAACACTTGAGCCACAGTGTCACTTCCGGCTTTTTTCTTTTAGCTTATGTGGTGCTGAGGAATCGAACCCAGGGCCTTAAGCATGCAAGGCAAGCGCTCTACCACTTCCTAGCCCAGGAGATATAAATTTCTATCTGAGTTTTCATAATGCTGAAAGAAAAAGCCGTGAAAGGACGCCAGACAAAAGAACTCACTAAAGAAGCCACTATGACCCCCTAGGGAGCCTACTTCATACGGGATACAAACCCCACTTCCCAGGAGATGCGCAACTCCTTTTGTAAGCAAATGGGCGGCCCTGAAAAGGGCCTTTAGAATTAAGATTTTTTTAAACAAGATGGGGTACGGCGATTTTAACCGCCGAAGCCGTAGAGGGTGCGGCCCTGGCGCTTAAGCGCGTAGACCACGTCCATGGCGGTGACGGTCTTGCGCTTGGCGTGCTCCGTGTAGGTGACAGCATCACGGATCACGTTCTCCAGAAACACCTTGAGCACCCCGCGGGTCTCCTCGTAGATCAGGCCGGAGATGCGCTTGACTCCGCCGCGGCGAGCCAAGCGTCGGATAGCGGGCTTGGTGATGCCTTGGATGTTGTCCCGCAGTACCTTGCGGTGCCGTTTTGCTCCGCCTTTACCAAGGCCTTTGCCTCCTTTCCCTCGGCCAGACATGTCTAAAACTGCTTAGAAGGACCAGTAGAAACACTGAGTTTCGCTTTGGGACCTTGAGTAATTATAAGCTGCAATCGGACCTAATTGAGAACTGTAGGCGGGAGCGTATTGCTGCCGCACCTTTGCTCCGCCCCCTTCGGCCAGCAATCCTTACGAACCGAGAAATGCTTTCGCTTTTTAAACCCCTGCTGTTTTTTTTTTCCTCTAACACTGCTATTTGCACCTCAAGTTGCTGTACTTTTGAGCATTTTAGTAAAAACTTAAATTTTAATACACTGCTCAGAAAAGACTCAGAAATGTACTACTGTGGTTATTTCAAGAATTAAAAGGTATCTTGCCTGTAGTAGAAAATTACTTCTTGTCAAAGGAACAGAGGGTTCTATTCAAGTAAACCTTGTAATTAAACACCCTTGTTTTGTAACTTCTCAATGAAATACCTGGCTCAAGGCCTTATTAGTCTATTCGTGTCAATTTAATTTTCGGGCCTAATTGCAACACTAAGTGCAGGTCTGGTTTTGCCACTTGAACATGTTTTGGCACTTCTACTTTCTCCTTAGGAAGAGAAGTGTTAGTTACATAACAATACAACTTTTGAGTTCCCTTTATAAAACTGTGCAGTAATAATAGCTTTCATGGATTTTGGTGGCCAGAATTAGGATCAGCAAATGCAAACAAAACAGGCTGTCACAAAATAGTGCTACATACATGTAATATTGTTTTTAAGCTTTTACTTTTAAAATCTGCCTTGAATTGGAATTTTGCCCTGAGCTCTTGATTTCAAGTTTTAACTCCCAGCCCCAAGTCACTATGAGAAAGTACATATATATTAAAAGTTTTTTTTAATAAAGTGCAAGATGTTGCCAAATTTTATTTTCTATTTGTATATGTTCAAAACAATTGCCCCAAAATATTTCATTGTTCTCTTTCTCAAGTGTTTGGACAATCACATTAAGTTACCCAGAGTCATTTTATGAGTGCAGTTCAAATTTTCAAATCTCCATGCAGATTTCTCAATTTTGGGTTAAAAATTACTAAAATCTTACTAAGTCACTTTTACTGAGTGCATTGGAACATCTACTGCCAATATTTTTGTTGTTCCTGAGAAAAGGTGTAGCCCAGGCTGGATTCAGACCTGTCATTCTCCTTTCTCAGTGTAGGCTGTGATGACTGCTGTTTCCTTCTGTGCTGGACACTACTGCTAAATATTTAAGCCTGAAAAAAATGTACCCTGATTTTGATGTGTTTCTCTTCTTTGGGAAGTTTGATCTTTTCATACAATAAGTGTCTCTAATCAAAACAGTTTCTAGACTCAAACAACATTAGCTATAAACTTTACTGTCTGGTATGTCATTCTAAGGTGCTTGGAGAAGAAAAATTAACTGAAGACCTTGTGACAACCAACATTTAATGCAGACAATCAATACCATTATAGAGAGGTAAGAAAGACCATACCTGGTTAGACTCTCCTACTGGGTCTCTGAATGTCATAAAATTTATTAACAGGGTGAAAGCACAGCACATTTATTTCATGTTTGTGAGACAGGCTAGGGTCCATAGAGAAATGAAAGCCCTTAACATGGGGGGGGGGTGGTCCGAGGGCAAGGAGAGATAAATTTCTTTTTTTTGGGGGGGAGCCCAGTCGTGGGCCTGAACTCTGGGCCTGGGCGCTGTCCCTCAGCTCTTCAGCTCAAGGCTAGCGCTCTAACACTTGAGCCACAGTGTCACTTCCGGATTTTTTCTTTTAGTTTATGTGGTGCTGAGGAATCGAACCCAGGGCCTTAAGCATGCAAGGCAAGCGCTCTACCACTTCCTAGCCCAGGAGAGATAAATTTCTATCTTTGAGTTTTCAATGTAGGTTGACGTTTCAATTCTAAACTAGGTAGAATCTACAAAGTAATACAAATAAATCCAGAAGGTAGAGGTTTGATTATTTTTTTAAATCCTAGAGTATAATACACAACTCAAAAAATTAAAATTTCTATACAGCAGTGTCTAAAATACACTGCTATCCCAATAACAAACCTGTAAAATGGGTATTGTTATAGTGCATAGCAAAGGAAGTAGAAATCAACTCCATGTTCCTAGACAAACAGTATCACAAATTCACTGAAAAGGTCTCTAGGATGTATGGCTGCATTCTTCAGCATATTATTGCATATAATACCCAAGTAAGTTAAATAGTTGAAAATGCAGAAATTACTTTTAAGACACTATTCCCATCTAATTGCCTTACAGTACTTAGTCCCCAAATTCTGAGAAATATTTGTATATTTAGTCGGTGAACTCCCTATTTGAATAGACGTTCCCAGCCATACTCGTTCAGAAGACTTGTCCCTAAAGACCCAGGTAAGGAATGCATCCTGATTTCCAACACATCAGTCCAGTGATGAGATCTATTGTGCACCACTCTACCTCTATTCCTGAAGGCCACGGCACAGCCACAGGAAGGCTCCCAAAGTGCCAGGGTAGGTTTTAAGGCATATAACCCACCGAAAGCCCCAGCTGTGTATACTTCACACTGCATTACCTTCTTCCTCACCCTAGTTCAACTAAACTTTGTCCACCCGAGACCCAAGCCGAGAGCTTGTGCTTGCAGGGCTGAGCCAATGGCCTCGGACCTTTGCCCACATTGCCAGCTGACATCCTTCAAGTTCTGGAAGACTTGCATAGCAGGTGACTACAGCTGCTTTTTGAAACATGTGGGTGGCTCTGAAAAGAGCCTTTGGGTTAACAGGTACAAGCTTAGATCTACATTTTAAGCCCTCTCTCCACGGATGCGGCGCGCAAGCTGGATGTCCTTCGGCATGATGGTCACTCGCTTGGCGTGGATGGCGCACAGGTTGGTGTCCTCAAAGAGACCCACCAAGTAGGCCTCACTGGCCTCCTGCAGCGCCATCACAGCCGAACTCTGGAAGCGCAGGTCGGTCTTGAAGTCCTGCGCGATCTCGCGCACCAGCCGCTGGAACGGCAGTTTGCGGATCAGCAGCTCCGTCGACTTCTGGTAGCGCCGGATCTCGCGCAGCGCCACGGTGCCGGGCCGGTAGCGGTGGGGCTTCTTCACGCCGCCGGTGGCCGGAGCGCTCTTGCGAGCGGCCTTGGTGGCCAGCTGCTTGCGGGGCGCCTTGCCGCCGGTGGACTTGCGAGCGGTCTGCTTAGTACGAGCCATGACAGAGGATAAGGAAGGTCCGCAGGAGACTTGCACTCTGTGGAGAGCAACCCGTCTTTTATACAATCAGACTACCAATGATTGGGCCCACGCAATTCGAAAGTGCGCGCGCTTTTAACTGATTGGTCCATTCCTGTACCAGAGAACACGGCTTACAAACTGCTTTCACTGCCTTAAAAAGGAACAATGAAACCTGTTAAATGTTTTGCCAAGTGGGGAGTGGAATAGGGCAGAGCTATAGAGTAGGAAGGGTGTGGTTGATTCATGTATGTGTAAAAATGTTACAGTGGACTCCATCATTGTATAATTAATGTTATTATGCACAGATATTTGCAGAGCAAGCTTCTGAGCCTCTTAAGGTTAGGGGAAAGAAAGCTTGCAGTTTAGTCAATGAAGCCAATGCCCTGCTCTTTACCATAGCCTTTATTCACCTACATACATAGCAGGTATGGACAAGATTTGCAGAGCAAGCTTCTCACTCAAAAATTTAAGCAAGGCAACCACTTGAAACGTGGAAACTCACTTAAAATGAAAGGGTTTCCCTTGGCATGATACAAGTATTGTAAGCATCTGGAGAAAGCCCTGGATTTGAAAGTTAATCTCAGTATGTTAAATGTGAAGGGTAAAATGGTAACTTTTTCTATTGAGAAGGAATCTCATTTTAGTGACGCTGGCCAGATGCACCTCGAGACCCCACACTAGCCACGGCTACGATTACAGTGATGTAAAATGACGCCTGCTTTACTGTGAGCTGGCAACGATTTCGGACGCCAGAATTTTTGAAAGCACTGGCTAAAGACGCGACGCATTGCTTCATTCGCCCTTTTCTTACATCAACTTCTTTCTATAACCAAATGCTGTTTTCTCCTCAAAAATTGTTTTATAGAGGTATAGATCGGTAAGAAAACGATTGGTACAAATAAAAATTTCAAATGACAGCTCATTTCATAGAAATAGTGGGTGGCTCTGAAAAGAGCCTTTGTTGTTATCCTGTTCTGTCTTGCTCAGAATTGCAAAGCGGTTACCTAACAGGCTTATTTGCCCTTAGCCTTATGGTGACTCTCGGTCTTCTTAGGCAGCAGCACAGCCTGAATATTAGGCAAGACACCGCCCTGTGCGATGGTCACACGACCCAGCAGCTTGTTGAGCTCCTCGTCGTTGCGGATGGCCAGCTGCAGGTGGCGCGGGATAATGCGGGTCTTCTTGTTATCCCGGGCCGCGTTGCCCGCCAGCTCGAGGATCTCCGCAGTGAGGTACTCCAGCACCGCAGCCAAGTACACCGGGGCGCCGGCTCCGACACGTTCCGAGTAGTTTCCCTTTCGGAGAAGGCGATGGACGCGCCCTACCGGGAACTGCAGACCGGCTCTGGAAGAGCGAGTCTTAGCTTTAGCGCGAGCTTTACCTCCTTGCTTTCCGCGACCCGACATAACTGAAGCAAAAATGAAGATCTAGCTACACGAGAAAAATGCAGGTATAGCACTGTATAAACGGGGAATGAGAAGTATTTATACTAACTGAAGGGAGCCTGAACGGACTTTTTCCATTGGCTAACATAACCACCAATAGAAAATAAGAATTTTCACCCTTCATTTGCATACAAGCCTGTGGATTTATGTTTGCTTCAGTCAGCAGTCAGGCTTGATGCCTTTTTACTTGAATACGAATAACATAGAGCACTTTAATGATCTACGGGAGACTATTAGGGAGACACAGTGGTTCATGTCAGCAATTCCAGCTACTGAAGAAGCTGGAGATTGGAAAGATAAGGTTAGAGGCCAACAGGAACCAAAAAAAGGTGTGAATCCCACCCTGTCCTGCCCAGTAGGATTGAGATCCAGTCCTGCTGGCTCTGGACTGGGTAATCCTCAGACTAAAGATTAGGGAAGGGAGAAGCTCTGGAGTGTGTCTCAGGTGGGAAGGCCCTGAGGTCAAACCTCATTACTGAGGGGGAAAAAAACCTATAAGCAAGGAGTGGGAGTGTTTTATTCTCAGAGCTGTGCCTCTTGGCCAGTGGTCCTTTTGGAGGAGTCTGGTTTGGATTTTTAGAAAGCAATCTATTCAGAACAATTTCTGAGTATGTAGAATTAGTGTGGTAGGCATTGTTTTTTTATGTCTGTGGAGAAAAGGGCTTATTAAGCCAAGGCTGGCAAAAACTTGCTATGTAGTCTATATTGCTGTCCACCAACATGCAGTCTCTCAGATCAGGGATTATTTATCTTGTTTTAGCTCATTAGGCCTCATGACAGAAATGGAGGAAGAAAGCAAACAGTTCTTCATTGTAGCCAAACTCTTCTTTTTTTGGGGGGGGGGGGCTGAACTCTGGGCCAAACGGTTTTTCATTGTAGCCAAACTCTTCTTTTTTTTGGGCGGGGGGCTGAACTCTGGGCCTGGGCACTGTCCCTCAGCTCTTCACCTCAAGGCTAGCGCTCTACCACTTGAGCCATAGCGCCACTTCCAGCTTTTTTGTTTTTGCTTATGTGGTGCTGAGGAATCGAACCCAGGGCCTTATGCATACAAGGCAATTGCTCTACCACTGAGCCACCTTCCCAGCCTCCCAAACTCTTCTTAAACTGCCAGGACTATAAGTTCCTGAAAGGACTAGATGATCAGTCCCTGACCTAGGTCTTCTTTCATTTTATCTATGTATGTAGCTGTGAGGGTATGTAGAGTGTTAAACTCATTTTAATGAGATTGGGAAGCTTCATACACCACAACAGTTATTTACCTTACCAGAGTTAAAAGCAGTGAGTTAAGATGACTAGAGTCTTCCCCATTAGCTGGGAAAGCCTTTCACACCTTGATAAGTGACATTCCCAACCTTCCTAACCCTTGCTCTTTTCTCACTTGCCTACAAAATAGCATTATAATTAATCCTGTAAACCCCTCATTTATAATTGGATATTTCTCCTTTCAGATCTGTCAGTTTTTTGTTGCATATACTTTATATTTAATTAAATTCACACATATTAAGATTGTCTTGATTTTCTCACTCAATGTATGTTTTTATCATTATTCAATATCCCTCTCTGTTACTGGTCATTTTTTAAATAGCTGATCATTGTCAACTAATAACACTTCCTCACTCCCCTCTAAAGGCAGTGACAGAAGGAAAATGAATGGGAAATTTTTCATGAATTAGTTTACATGTATGGGGGCATATAGCAAATAAAAACGAATACTCAAAAACCCAGTGAGATCAACATACTTATATACCCTCCTGGAGCACAAAGGAGGATGAATATTGGTAATGTAGGGATAATAGAGAAAATGATTGTGTATGTGTGTGTGTGTGTGTGTGTGTGTTTGTATGTCAGTTGTGGGGCTTGAACTCTGGGCCTGAGCACTGTCCCTTAGCTCTTCACCTCAAGGCAAGGATTCTACTGCTTGAGCTATAGCGCCACTTTTGAGAAAATGATCTTTTGAAAAGATTAATAGGTACTGAAGGGAACAAGTACAGAATCTGGTAGAGTCTGTCTTGCATTAACTTCTGATTTTTCTCTCCTGAAATTTATTCTTCCTAGTTTAAGATTCCTGGAAACAGATTCATGACATTTGACTTCCTTTTGAAGGATATGTCTCTAGGTAGATAAGGGAGTTCAGACAGTCCCTCTGCATTTGCTGCTCCCCGAGCACCCTCAGTTGATAAACAGCATACTAAACTGGCATGCTTTTGGCTTGAATTTTCTGAACTCACTGAAGCACATAATCATCTCTAGACTTTTAAGGTATTCGAATACAAATAGTCTATACTATGGCAATACTCAATAAAAGTGAGAGTATGTACCACAACACACTATGATAATATTATATATTAATTGCCTGGTCTTAAAGCTGATAGGTTGAGGAATAGAAAAATCATCAAAGATTGCTGAATCTTGCTGCTTTTAATTTTATGGTTTGTGAAATTAAGCAAATGGTACCCAGCTGGAGGTGAACAATGCACTAAAGGAATTTCTAAAGGCTCAGAACCAAGGATCTACTTACCCACAAATAAGATGATGGGAGGAACAAGAAACAGGTGTGAGAAAACCCTATCCCTTCCTAACCCAGTGTAGTCAGTACATGGTTTTAGTCAAAGAACCTAGGAGAGTAAAGGTACTCATTTTCTGTTAACCTTTCATTTCTTTCATTTTTTTATCCCTATGAATTTTTTTTACTAATAGCCTCCCTTTTATGATTATTTTCATGATAAACAACAGCAGTAAATAATAACTGCTTATTGTTTTTGGAAAGTTGAAAAAACCTATGATTGACCTATTCCAAATATTTATAATCTCTGAGAAGGATTTAAGTGATTAAGTAGCAGTGCTTGTTCTCCATCCAAAAGAAGGTTTTGAGCAATTGTTATACAAGGGCACAGAAAAGAGCAATCACAGTAACTTAGAAAAATCGAGAGAATTCCTGAGGGAGATATCCAATGTTTATTGAATGTGTGATTAACAAGTCCCTGGTAAAAGCCAGAGTGTTTTAGGTACTCACGGCCACAGCAGTGAGCAGACAGCAACATTATCCTCAGGATGATCATGTTCTTGTTGAGAAGGCTCACAGTAAGGTAAATACATAGAAAAGTATAGCGTATGAGTGATTTGGAAAAATAATTGAATACAGAATGACAATAGGCAAGAACAGGATGAGAAAGAGAGAGCATGTCTTTATTTCAGACATGAGGCCAGCCTATTAGAAAAAATATGTACCTCAGTAAAATGAGAGCTATATTATAAAACAAAACAGGGATGTCAGAAACCAAGTATCAGAAGGTATAAATTTTCTAATTTCTTGACCAAATTCTAGATGATTTGGGATGAAACATTACATATATACGTATATATACATGCAAAAATTACAAGAAATGAATGGGAAAGTAAAGGCTTTTACAGATGAAGGAGGGGGGAAAAGAAAAGAATTTGTTGCCAGCATACCTATCCTCAAAAGCATAACAACAGGACATTTGTGGAATAGAAATTTACAGAGGAAATCTGGGAACAGTATAGGAAAGGAATAAAAATTTAAATGCAAAAATTATGGATAAGTATAATACTTTTGAAATTTTAGAGCAAAATGAGTGACATTCTGTGGTGTAATTATTAATGTCTGTGAAGGTGGTATTTAGGGTAAGTATAAACAAGGCAAGACTGCAGATAAACTAAAATGGATTACAAAAAAATGTTCCAAAAGTTCATAGAAAACCAGAAATAGAAAAATAGACAAATTAATAACAGTTTCAAAAAAGAAAAGAAAAGAAGAAAAAGCCAGAAAAGAAAAGACAATTGCAGTGTTAGGTTAGGGGAATTACATTTCTTGATTATCTTCCATTCTCAAGTGGGACATCCTATAAATTCTTATCCTGTATCTACACAAATAAGAGGCCAAGAAAACTTTTCCCATACTATATCCACTTAGTTGCATTAAGTCAATAATAATTCATATGTTAAGTTCTCATATTACGTTACTTTTCACATCCTTAAGCCCTGTGATTATCAGAATTATACTAAATGAATATTGCCTAAACATAACAATTGAAGCGATTAGCTAACTCAATAACAATGCCCATGCCAACAGTATGCTGTCATATATAACTTCAAATATAACTATAGAATAAAATTAAAGGAGACAAAAAGATAAACCATATACACTTCAATTGTAAGGTTGCAAGAGTATCTGTAGGTTTTAGTATCAGATAAGAAGACTTTAGAGGAAGGAAAATGACCAGGAATAGAGAGGAATATGGCATAATGAGAAAAACACACGTTCAACAAGAAAATAAAAATTTTAATGTGTGTGAAATCAATGAATTACAAAGAGCATGAAGCGAAAAAGCATATATCTGAAAGGATAAATATACAACTATAAAGTGTTCAGGATACATCTCATCAGCTTATAGAAATACAGCTTGTAGAAATCTGTCACTTATGGCAACTTGTCAAACAAGTAAAAACAAGATTATTCATAGCTCACTGAATTTATATTTAATAAGACATAAGGAATATAGTAGATATGTAATACATCCTTAAATTTGTTCATCCATGGCAATGATCTAGTAAAAAACGTTTGTAAATAGAGCAACATCCCTAAAGGATGGACAGGAGGTGTGATAATATCACAGTAAAATAAATATTATTATAAAATGTTGTTTTGTTTTGGGACCTGAACTCTAGGCCTGGGCACTGTCCCTCAGCTCCTCAGCTCAAGGCTAGCACCCTACCACTTGAGTCACAGCACTGCTTCTGGCCTTTTCTGCTTATGTGGTGCTGAGGAATCAAACCCAGGGCTTCATGCATGCAAGATAAAACACTCTGCCACTCAGCCACCTTCCCAGCCCCAAAATGTTTATTGCTCAAATAATAAAGCAATGAGACTTAATTTTTCATGTCTTCAGCAAATAGATTTAAAAAGTTTGTTGGTGAGACTATACAAGGATAAAGCAACTTGGGAATATGGACTGAAGTACTGCCCTTGTATGATTGGAGCCATAAATCTCACTTCTAATACATCCTCAAAAGGAATCTCATAAATTACATGTAGGAAAACATCAAAATATATTTTCAGAATAACAATAAAATGATTACCAGAGAAAGGAAAATTAAAATGAAATGCAATCGTGCAAGTGATTGTTAGAATCTCTTAAGTTAAAAGAATGATAACAATGCTAAAGTATCTCCCATATAACATTTATGTATAAAGTTTTTGCACAAAGGGAAATTTCTAGTAGGTTAGAAAAATGAACCTATAATTGATTTTTGTGGATTTTTCCCCCTCTTTACTATCCTTAAATTCATTGCTGACACCTCTAAAAATAACTGATAAATGTACCCAAATGTATTGAGGATTTTATTCAAAAATGAAGTCCAGAAGTAAATCTCCAGACAAGCAAGGATTCCTATGGATTTTTATGGTCAGTTCAGAGAAGAAGATAGTTGTGAAATGTGTTTACAAGAATCTTGCTTCAAATTGACAAAACAGGAGAGATCACATGGAGACCTCAGCAAGACCTGTGTGCAGAGTCTTCTGTGAGATTGTGTCTTCAGAGAAAAGATAAGGTCTTATACCCAGCTTCGGCAATTCAAGGAATTCTTTGCTACTTTTTAATGTCTTATTTTAGGGTAGAATGGCTATGAGAAGGTGAGACCTTTGTGCTTCTTTTCTCTCAAATATCAAGGTGTTGTATTTAATAATGTGTCCTATATCAATGAACTGGCTTGAAATTATTAGTGATTATTACCTTACTTTTCCCCTCCCTCTTTCTTTTTGCTTCCTTTTTAATTTTCCTACAGAGTGTTGCTACATGCCCAGGCTGACTAGACTCAATCTCTGGAGACCTGGGGTTTACAGGTCTGTGTTACCATAGTCAGTCAAATGATTATCACTTTTAAATAAAGGTCATCCCCCAGGATGTTAAAAGAAAACAAAAAAACTAACTTGAATGTGCTATTAATAGAAATAAGATAATAAAACACTAACAAGTGTTGCAGTAGGCAAAATTAAAAATCAAGTCCCCTGCCCTAGATCAGGGCCAAGAAATTCCAAATCCTTTAATTCTGAACCTTTTAAATCTTCCTACATCTCAGAAACAATCTCAGGACCTTTGCCAACTATGTCTTTGTGGGCTTTTCTTTATGCCAAACTCTGTCATCCTTCAAATTAGGTACAGTTTTATTCCCATCTTAATTGAAAAAGGAGGAAAGAGGTTGGGGATGGAGAGGGGAAGGGGGTAGGGGAGAAAGGAAGCAAGCAGACAAGTTATTGAAGACAAGCTAGGAAAATAATCTCCACTTCAAGAAAGCTCTGTGAAAATGTTGAGAAATAATGCTACTACTAGGAAACTTTTCCAGAGAAAGAATCCTAAAGGCCACATTCTGACATTGAAGCCTCAGTTAGTATGGGAATTAAAAAAAAAAATTAAGGCTTCTCTTGACAGTATTTTGCATATACTGATAGTACTTCTCATACAATGATTTACTTATACCTTGTGTGAGACCAGAAGACAGTTTTAACTTTTACCTTGTTTGGCAAACCCTTCTTTATTTCATCTAAACACAGTGTTGAATAAAACTAGATGGAGGGAAAGCTTGTAGTAATTTTTTTCCCTTTCACACAACTCCCTGTTCTTCCCCTCCCACAGCCAAGGATGCAAATGTTAACTTCTTAATCCAGACCTTTGCCGATTTCTAATAATTACTTTTGAAATCCCAGATGCTCTGCAAAAGAAAACTGCTAACTTCTCCAACTGTGGTCAGTGCAAGTCAGCTGCATTCAGACAGGAAAGAGCGCGAAATTCAAACCCATTGTTCAGGCCCTGAGCTCTGGCCAACGCACATGCCTGTACACAAATAGCCCAGATTATCTGAGACGCCAAAAAAATTCAAAAGGCTCTAAAATAGTGATGAGTAAACACAAAAAAGGGAGGAATTTAATTGTTCCTGGAGATGTAGGTGCGTCACATTAAGATCTAGTAGAGAATCAATTACTGTTTCCTTAAAGGAATAGGACTCAATTTACATCACAGTTCCATCTCTAGGGAACAAATAAATGCGAAATGACTGCAGGCCTCTTTCCTTAGGCAATCACTTAACAGCTTTCCAATAGGAAAAACTCAATTCGCCTAGTATAAACTTACTAAGTCAAAATTATTCAAACTACGATAGATTTACAAACAGCCATCAGCCCTGAGCCACCACACCTTAGGGCTTAAGGAGTTGGACGCCAAGAGTTTTAGCTTTTTTCATGATAAAGTGGGTGGCTCTGAAAAGAGCCTTTGGATTAAGAAATGTCTAAAGGCAATTACTTGGAGCTGGTGTACTTGGTGACAGCCTTGGTGCCCTCGGACACGGCATGCTTGGCCAGCTCCCCGGGCAGAAGCAGGCGCACGGCCGTCTGGATCTCCCGAGACGTGATGGTCGAGCGCTTGTTGTAGTGCGCCAGGCGAGAAGCCTCGCCCGCGATGCGCTCGAAGATGTCGTTCACGAACGAGTTCATGATGCCCATGGCCTTAGACGAGATGCCAGTGTCCGGGTGGACCTGCTTCAGCACCTTGTACACATAAATGGAATAGCTCTCCTTGCGGCTGCGCTTACGCTTCTTGCCGTCCTTCTTTTGCGCCTTAGTAATGGCCTTTTTAGAGCCTTTCTTAGGAGCTGGAGCGGACTTGGAAGGCTCAGGCATGGCTGTCCAACAGCAAAGAAAACTGGCTCTACACTAACAGAAAGCAGGATAGTAAGAGGAAATGTACTGTTTTTATGTATAGTCCAGTGATTTAAATGAGGGTTTAACATTTCTCCCTTCTGATTGGCTACAAAACAATCCCGAGAGGAAGTTTATGCAAATTGTGGATTTACAGTTTCAGTTCCTATTGGATAGACCCCTAAGCCGATTTTGACCAATAGGCTGACTTTATGCTTAAGCCTTATGCTACCTATAAAATGCGGGTTTCAGCCCAAAGCCCTTTTCTCTTCATTCTGCTATAGTCAAATCACTATGTCAGGGCGCGGTAAGCAGGGAGGCAAAACCCGAGCCAAGGCTAAGACCCGCTCTTCTCGCGCGGGCCTGCAGTTCCCAGTAGGCAGAGTGCATCGCCTCCTTAGAAAGGGGAACTATTCGGAGCGCGTCGGCGCCGGCGCCCCGGTGTACATGGCGGCCGTGCTGGAGTACCTGACGGCCGAGATCCTCGAGCTGGCTGGCAACGCGGCCCGCGACAACAAGAAAACGCGCATCATCCCGCGACACCTGCAGCTGGCCATCCGCAACGATGAGGAGCTCAACAAGCTGCTGGGCAAAGTCACCATCGCTCAGGGTGGGGTGTTGCCCAACATTCAGGCCGTGCTCTTGCCAAAGAAAACGGAGAGTCATCACAAGGCTAAGGGAAAGTAAATAGGGACAAACCAGGGAACAACTGGCCGTTTGTTTCCAGATACCTAAACGGCTCTTTTAAGAGCCACCCACGTTTTCACCAGAAAAGCCGCTAACGCTGTTGGTTATATTGTATTTAAATTATAGCCTGCATACAAAAAGCCACATGAAGGCACATACAGTACACGAGCTAAAACTGGATTCCTGAGTTACAAAAACGCTATTATACAGCATTTGCTATTAGCTTTCATCAGCTAAGGATTCTAATTTTGGGGAATGTGACCACGCCCTAAACCCAACCCGTAAGCAGCATTTAGGAGTTAGGGTAGTCCGCAAAGCCACAACCTTACTACCAAGATAGGTCTTGTCTCAAACATCGGGGGGGGAGGGGTCTCAGATAACACTCCTTTACTGAAAAATCAAAACGTCCAAAACCGTTATGCACTGCTGTACTTAGACCAAAATCATAAAAGGATGACGGAGGACAATTTGTCCAATCAGATGTTCTTCTCGTGAACCAATCCGCAGGAAGATTCTTCAACCAATGATTTTGTCGCGCGGGAGTTTTTAAAAACATTTCAAGGCCAATCACATTGCTTACAAGCGTATTTAAGGCCAACCTGTAGGCACTTTCGCTACAGGTTGCTGTGTGTCTTCTGTTATTCCAAATGGCTCGTACTAAGCAGACCGCTCGCAAGTCCACCGGCGGCAAGGCGCCTCGCAAGCAGCTGGCTACCAAGGCCGCTCGCAAGAGCGCGCCTGCCACCGGCGGCGTGAAGAAGCCTCACCGCTACCGGCCCGGCACCGTGGCGCTGCGCGAGATCCGGCGCTACCAGAAGTCGACGGAGCTGCTGATCCGCAAACTGCCATTCCAGCGTCTGGTGCGCGAGATCGCGCAGGACTTCAAGACCGACCTGCGCTTCCAGAGTTCGGCTGTGATGGCGCTGCAGGAGGCCAGTGAGGCCTACCTGGTGGGTCTCTTTGAGGACACCAACCTGTGCGCCATCCACGCCAAGCGAGTGACCATCATGCCGAAGGACATCCAACTGGCTCGTCGTATCCGTGGAGAGAGGGCTTAAAGTCCACCAAGTGTTTCTCACTGAAAAAGGCTCTTTTAAGAGCCACCCACAGTTTCACTGAAGTAGCTGTAATATGTTGATTCAGCAGCAAGAAGACAGGGTTTTTTGCAACTGCAGGATTCTTTCTGGTTAAAGTTAGTGTTTAATATGATGACCGAAACCCCATCATGGGCATTTTTATTATTAAAAATGCATACTTGTTACTGTCATGCGAGTGTCACATGCAAAAATGTAGCTCTATTGCCAAGAATTTACCATTCTATGTATGTATATGTTCACATGTCACATACAACTCCATATAAGGTACAGCTAAATTTTCTCTTGCCCAGATTTCAAATATTCTGGTCCACATTCTAACAAATCACAAAAAGTCAATTGCAATTGCAAGATTAATAGAAATAACATTCACTATAATCAAAAAAAAATTTTGAGACAAAAAATACCGTCATAAAGCTCCAGATTACTATGGTCTTAGAAATAGAACATCAACATTTGAGTTTTAATAGCCTCAGAGAAAATTCTGAGCAAGATCTTTTTCAATTTATTCAGCCTTCCCTTGCATCCTAACCTGTTTATATTTCACTTCAGTAGAAGCAATCTGAGAGTTAGAAATTGCTGGGTCTGGGATGAGACTCAGGTTTCAGGCTCTTCCTATGATGTTTAGGATGATGGTGTGTTACAAAGATATTTGAAGAAGAAACATCTCAGTGGATATAAAATTAGCGTTATTCAATTTGAGCATTCTTTTAAGGTAAATTCTTTCACACAACATTAGTTTTACAGAACCATTCAGCATTGAGTAACATTTACATTTGAAGGTAATAAAATAGGTGTAACAATAAAACAGTGGGTTTGTTAGTTTCAACATCGAAATTTGGTGCTTGTGGAATAGTCAAAATTGAGTTCTCCATGAATCGTAGGTTAAGTACTACATGAAGTGACTGGCCTGAGTTATAGTGTATAATTCTATTTTCTTTTTTTTTTGGGGGGGGGTCCAGTCTTGAGTCCTGAACTCTGGGCCTAGACGCTGTCCTTCAGCTCTTTCAGTTCAAGGCTAGCGCTCTACCACTTGAGCCACAGCGCCACTTCCGGCTTTTTTCTTTTTGCTTATGTGGTGCTGAGGAATTGAACCCAGGGCTTCAGGCATGCAAGGCAAGCACTCTACCACTGAGCCACCTTCCCAACCCCATAGTGTATAATTCTTAAGTATATTTTGAGGCAAGTTCACTCCAACCCAAGGGATCTTAATAATCCCTTAAAAGTAAATAATATTTTACCAATAAATATCACTTCCAACAATCTTACATCAAATCCATTTTCATTCTCATTTTCTGATTAATAAATTTAACCCTCAAAATAGAGTCAAACATAATTTCTTCCTCAAAAGAAATTACTGGGGCTGGGAAAGTGGCTCAGTGGTAGAGCGCTTGCCTTGCATGCTCAAGGCCCTGGGTTCCATTCCTCAGCACCACGTTAGAAAAAAGCCGGAAGTGGAGCTGTGGCTCCAATGGTAGAGCACTTGCCTTGAGCTGAAGAGCTGAGGGACAGCGCCCAGGCCCAGAATTCAGGCCCCATGACCGGACCCCCCCTCACAAAAAAAAAAAAAGAAAGAAATTACTGTTTCTGGGTCAGCTGATGAGGACTGTGGTAAATTGACAGGCTAAATTCTGACATTAGAGTCTGATCTGAGACATGGTTAGAATGAACCCTCAGGGCATCAGCTTAGTGATGCGCTCTAGACCTCAGAACCAGAACCAGAACAAAATGACTAGTTCCTTGGAAGTATGCACATTCTGCTTCAGAACAAGTGTTAGGTTTTCCCCCAATAATATGTATAAAAGCTATATTATCTAAGATAGGAGCCATTATTGACTATTTTTAATAACTGAAATATGACCAGACAAATGAACTATGCTTTAAGCATAAAATATATCAGACACAAACATTTACAACAAAGAAAATATATTAGCAAATATCACTTGTACAAACAAGTTTCATTGTGATATGCCCATATATATAATGTCCATATAATGCTTTGATAAGATCCAGCTCCTATTGTTTCTTCTTTCCCACTCCTCCCAACACAAAATCTTATAATCAGTTCACTAAGGAATCTATTGGGTTAATTATACTAAAATAATTTCACTTGTTTCATTTTATTTTAAAATGGCACTAGAAACATTTAAATTATATGATTTATTTATTCTTGAGGAATTTTGTGAGTATGTAGAAGGTAACTTTGATTTGCTGGTCAGCTCACTAGTTACTCGAACGTTGCCAGGCTTCAGTTTCATCTCTTAAAATGGGAGCAATAATGGTACCTACTTAGTACTGTGCCAAAAAATGTGTATGTGGGAAAATATAGAATAAGTGGCTTGGTGTAAATAAGTGCTCAAAAAAAGTTCACTCTATGGGTTGTTGTTGAGACTATCCTTGATCCCTATTCCCAAATCAAATCCTCTAAATGAAGTCTGTTCAGCTCTGGCATTGAATTCAACCACAAAAAAGGCTTCTACATTTTACATAGATTTACATGGCCTAAACATTTGGAGTTTTGCTTAAGAAGAATAATAGGCGAACTTAGTAGTGTTTTAGTAGAGTTTTGAATATACTATTACTACTTGTCAATATAATTTTATAAAAGATTTAAAAAGTGAAGAATGATAAAACTACATAAAAGTTGAAAATGAAAACAATGACAAAGGAGGGGGTAACAATGCTCAAGAGGAAATGTACTCATTACCTTACTCATAACTGTAACCCATCTATACAGCATGTTTACAAATAAAAATATATATTTAATAATAAAAGAAAAAGAAAACAATGACAAATATAAGTTTTAAAGGAGATTTATGGTGGAAATGATCTTTACAATTTTGTCAGGGGAAAAGGGGAGGAGAGGTAGGGAAAGGATACAAAGGAGGGGTAACAATGTTCAACAAGAAATGTACTCATTATCTTACTCATATAACTGTAGCCCCTCTGTACAGCATCTTTACAATAAAATAAAAAAAAAAGAATGTCACCCAATGTGACATTTTGCTGAAAGGTTATTTTATGCTGAAGGCAATTGGAAATTAACATAACAGTTCTCCTTGCCCAAGAAAAGAAACATGTGAAATCATTTTTAATTATATGCTTTAAATATATCAAAACCCATTTAAAACAAATATATAGGGCTGGGAAGGTGGCTCAGTGGTAGAGCACTTGCCTTGCATGCATGAGGCCCTGGGTTCGATTCCTCAGCACCACATAAGCAAAAAGAAAAAAGCCGGAAGTGGCACTGTGGCTCAAGTGGTGGAGTGCTAGCCTTGAACTGAAGAGCCGAGGGACAGCGCCCAGGCCCAGGGATCAGGCCTCACGACCGGACCCCAAAAAAATTTAAATAAATAAAATAATATATATATAGTTTTTTTTGTTTAGGTTGGTTTAAAATTATATGGTTTGCATGTGTCCATCTTACATGGAACTGGACAATTGTTCATTCTCTTCAATAGTGAAGGCCTGGTTATACATGCTTGTCATCCCGGCACTTGCAAGGCAGAGGCAGGCTTGGTTCAAGGCAAGCTTGGTATTCATGAGACCCAGACTCAAAACAAGGAGAGAAAAAAAAAACAAAACCCCAAACTAAAAATTCCAAGTGTCTTCAATGTCTATTTTATGAGATTAGCCTCAAGGAATCTAAAATCTCACAGGCTGTCATTTTTAACAATAAAAAGATAAATAGCTGAGAATAATGGAAACAAATATTAAGATTATATTTTATTTGGAAACAATTTTAAATTATCTAGACAGATAACATAGTTAAACAGAAAACATGAAAATTCTTACACAAAATCCTGCCATTTCCACAAATCAATTCATAAATTTAACACAATCTCAATAAAGGTACACATGTACATATGTATATATGTGAATGTGGTAGAAAGACAAGTGTGTGGGGGAAACCAAAAAATCTGAACATCAGTCATGGAATTAGCTTCTGTCCACAACGAATCATCTTGTTAAAAAAAAAATCACAATTTATGAAACACTACTATTTGAGTAAATCCTACGCATCAGAGGTGTTCTGAGCAATGAAAATACTTCTGTGAAGAAAATACAAAGGAACAAAAATAGAATGTCGAGATTTAGTCTACATGTCCATAGAATTCAGCCTATGTTAAAAATAAAATCAGAATTGAAGAGGCAGAAATGAGAAATACCTTGTGTCAAAACTTACAATTAATGCAGAACTGATCATTAAAAATTGCTAGAAGAAAGCATAGGGAAATTTTCTTTGCTGCCTCCTGGACCCTTCTCCCTGTTTAATAAACCCCACGAGGTAATGAAATGTCACAAGATTCATTCTTGCAGAAACTGAGTAACTGCTGTCCTCTTTGGAGGTCCTTGTAACCGGCCTCGCCAAAATCTGTTCCAACAGAATACAAAAACAGGAACTAGCCCTTCTGCATTTAAAGAGGAATGCATATGGATATGAATTCAAACACTGACAAAGACCAAAGGCTAAACTTGCAGAATTGCATGAAAACATGCGTAGCTCACACATTAAAACAACAAAAATATGTTTAAAGCAACTCCGGTTTGGGGAAGTTGAAATCCTTCTACAAGTGAGGATTCTTACGCGCGTCAGATCTAAAATGGCCGACCAAAAGTTGTTTTTGACGCACTATAACCATACCACAGCTTTGCAAATAAGGTATGCGATACTAGAGCTCCCTGATCCAGAAATACTCTGGAAAAAAAGGGGGGGCGCTTTCCGCAGCTGCCTTTCAGTGAATTTCTCGGCATAGAAAAACCAACCACAGGAGCTAGAACACACCCTCATAGGCTACAAATGCTCCCAAGGAGAGACGTTTTGACAACTTGGAAGGAAAGCGCGCGAAAGACCACTTAAATTTCTCCTAGATGGTAAACTTCCAACTTGACTAAAGCAAAACATATAGGGAAGAACACAATGCCGGCTGCCATCCAATTAAGCCCAGAAGGAAAGCCAGAGGCGGAGAGGGAGTGGGCCAACCAGAGAGCAGGGCGGAACTTTTGAATTACCTTTTAGCCCAATCCGAGGAAAACCTTTTAACTAAGAAAAGGGTGGGGGGGAGGCGTTTTACTTGTTTGTGCTGTTGGGCAGCCGTGGGAAGCGGTTGGCGCTCACCCCTAGTTCAGCCAGCGGAAGCGGAACAGCTGACCAAGTAAAGCGACAACCAGGGCAGATAGGAAGGAGATGCAAACCCCTGGTTTAGGCCAGCGAGCCCTGACCCCCGCTAAGCCAGAACTCAAAAGCTGATTTGGGGGAAAGCAATCCAAATGTTTGCAGCTCTATTTCGAGATCTGTGGTGGCTCTGAAAAGAGCCTTTTGGGTTAAGTAGGACTAAAAGCCTACTTCTTCTTGGGTGCAGCCTTTTTGGGCTTCGCAACCTTGGGTTTGGCAGCTTTAGGCTTAACAGCCTTAGATGCGCTCTTGACCTTCTTGGGTTTGGCCACCTTCGCCTTCTTCGGGCTCTTGGCCACCTTCTTAGTCACTGCAGCCGCTGCTGGCTTCTTCGCCTTCTTAGGGGTTTTCTTGGCGCTCTTTTTCGGAGTGGCGGAGCCAGTCGCCTTCTTCGGCTTCTTGGCTGCGCCGGCAGGCTTCTTAGGCTTAGCCGCGCCCGCCTTCTTGGCCTTGGGCTTGGCCTCCCCGGAGGCTGCCTTCCTGTTAAGTTTGAAGGAACCGGAGGCGCCGGTGCCCTTGGTCTGCACCAGGGTGCCTTTGCTCACCAGGCTCTTCAGACCCAGCTTGATGCGGCTGTTGTTCTTCTCCACATCGTAGCCCGCAGCGGCGAGCGCCTTCTTGAGAGCGGCAAGGGACACCCCGCTGCGCTCCTTGGAGGCGGCCACAGCCTTGGTGATGAGCTCGGACACGGGAGGTCCAGTCGCCTTGCGGCGCGCTCCGGCAGGCTTCTTGGCAGCCTTCTTCTTCACCGGAGCCTTCTCCGCCGGGGGGGCGGCAGCAGGAGCGGCTGGAGCAGTCTCAGACATGTTGAAGCTCTAGAACTGGGAAACAAGTGGCAAGACGCCGATGGAGCTGCGCTGGGGCAGGGCCTCGGTATATATAGAGCGCAGGCGCGCGCTGATTGGTGCTCCGGTCGCCCGCCTGGCTGGCAGCCTCGGAGCCGTCGCGCTGCGCCCAAGTTGTGTTTGTTCCACCTCACAAAAAGGAGAAAATATTAAAATGCCCCGCACCAAAACACCCGGATTTGACCAAGAAATGATCTTAGAGGTCTCAGGCTTCGGACTCTACATTTATTTTTTTTGTAACCCCAAAGACAACGCGTGTAGACGTCTCCAAATCTCTCAACTCTGAAGGAAGTCCAGGGCAGTCAGAGACCACTTTCTGTTTTTCTTCTAAATTACCTGGTCGCTCCTTTGCCCCTGAAACTTCTTTTTCCTAGGGGTGGTTGGGCACATGCTTCTCTTATCTTAGGCACAAAAACGGCATTGGTTCCACCCAAATTTTCACGATAATTCTGTTTCTTCGCAAGGGAAGTAACACAGGTCCTTGGTGAATTCTGCATACAGACCCATAGTAACTATGGACTGGGACAAGGATTTCCAAGGCCTCTCTAAAGCAGTTAGGACTGGAAGGGAGGGGGCTTATAACCCTTGCGAGGGTCCTAGAGGGTGAGAGGTTAAGGACGTATATATTTGAGTTAAAGACATTGAAACCGTCTAATCCTTTTTATGGGTGGGGGCGGGGCGCCCTCTTCACTTCTCCAAAGCCAAGAAATTGGGCTGTATTTTAAAAGCCCTCAGATTCCTTTCTGACATTTTACTAGGTAGGGGGTCTGACCCTCAAAAATGAGAGGTACTATAGGAAGTAAAGGAGAAAAGGAGACCCCGTAGGCCTGTAAAGAATTCCCAATCGATCTGGTAGTTTGGGACATTGATGATCTGTTTTCAAAGAAAACAAGCATTAGTTAGATGAATTTTTATTCTTGAAAATTGTAGGCTATTTCCAATAAAAAATACTTTACTTGTGCTATACTATGAACTGAAATGTTAAGGTGGAAATAAAATCATTAAAACACAGATTTGACATTTTATTTATTGACAGATATAAAATGCACTTTTGACCTAAGAGATGAATCAGAGTTGAAATCGAAAATACCAAAATTGTAAACAGAAAAAGAAGGAAATGTAGTAAAACATATAAGTTATACCTTTGTGTTAACTAGCTGAATACCACCTCCTCATCCTCTCTAAAACTGGCCATATTTGCTTTCCTTAGTTAAAGATTGCTGCTTCATAATCACCCACTGGTTCCAAGAAATTGCAAATTTTTCCTTAAGAGAAGGAAGGTAACCTTTTTGCTTATATATGTAATTGATTATGTGTTTATATTAGGGAGAAAGGAAATATAAAGTTAGCCTTACATTGTAATCCAATCAAAGGGGTTATATAAATTAAATTCAGTGATGTTCAGACAACAAAACAATCTTTTAAAATAAGAATGGCCGGATAGTTTCACTGAATAACATTTGTTTGGCATGTGGAAACTGTCTACTTCTATTCATACCCTCTGGGAATTAACAGCCTAATGAGATTAGGGATGGATGATTTAGCAGCAGTAGAAAACAACTTCAGATTTACCATTCTCCTCTATATTTGTGAATTCTATAAATGTAACATGTTATGGAAAATGTACAAATCATTGAATCACTTTCAATATAGTATACAAGCAGTTTTAGTAAAAGAAATAGGATAAGATCAAATTGCTTCCACTGTGTGCATTGAGCCCCATTTTCAATTGAAACTCAGTGAAGTGTTCATATTCATTAGAACAATAGCTGTGTAAAGTCTTAATTACCAGGTCTCTAGTGTTCTCTTCACTATAAATTTTTATCTTGATTTTTAAATCCTGTGCCTGTAAATTTGATGATTGTAATTCAGTTATCTAATGTGATCATTCATCCTGAACCAATCTAATCACACCTCTAAACAATAAATAGACAGAAACTTACTTCAAAAATTTCCTGGCCAAGGGGTGGAAGTTACTTGAAGGCAAAGGATCACAAAATCATTCATAAACTTTGTAACCTGTGTTGAAAAAAAGAGATATAAAACTTTAAAACAAGGCAAACATATTTTGCTATGCCATTCCAAACTATATTAAAAAATTATACAAAACAAACACTTCTGGCTCAACTGAAACCTAAGAGAGTGTTAGAAAACAAAATAATTGAGTAACATACATTTCAAAAAAAATCTGTTAGGGACATTGAAAAAAAGAGGTGACAGCAGTGACATTGGTTTTGTTTATTTTTGCCAGTCACAGGCTTAAATTGAGGGCCTGACCACTGTCCCTGAGCTTCTTTTGCTCAAGGCAAGCACTCTACCTCTTGAAGAGTCACAGCATCACCTCAGTTTATATGGTACTGAGGAATTGAACTCAAGGAACTCATTATGTGTTCTAGGCAAGCACTCTACCACTGAGCTACATTCCTAGCCCAACATTTGTATTAATAATAGATTTTACTTCACTTGTATATTTGCTTGAACTTATAAGCAATATTTTAGATGATATACTTTATATTCTTTTAAAATGGTAAGTCTTAACTATCTCATGTGTTTCATATCTATAGAACATTTCAATTGAGATTAGCGCATTCCAAGTATTTAATAACAAATTGCAACTAGGAGTTTTATAATTATGCAGACAGCACAGCTTTTTTAATTAATTAATTAATTAATTTTTTTGTCAGTCGTGGGGCTTGAACTCTGGGCCTGTGCACTGTCCCTCAGCAGTTCAGCTCAAGGCTAGCACTCTAGCACTTGAGCTACAACACCACTCCCGGTTTTTTGGTGGCTTATTGGAGATAAGAGTCTCAGGTTCTTTCCTGCCTGGGCTGTCTTTGAACTGTGATCCTCAGATCTCAGCCTCCTGCATAGCTAGGATTAGGATTACAGGCACCAGCCACTGGCACCTGGCCTTAGCACAGCTTTTGAGTAAGGTAACTTCTGTGTACGTATGTGTGCACATACACAATTACTGGGGCTTAAACTCAGGACCTCACACAGACTCCTGCTTAACTTTTTCACTGAAGGGTAATATTCTACCACTTCAACCACAGATCCACTGTCAGCTTTTTACTGGTTAATTGTAGATAAGATTCTTATCTACAAGATTCTTTCCTGCTTGACTTCAAAGTGAAATGCTCAGATCTCAGCCTTCTGAGTAGCTAAGGTTACAGGTGTAGGCTACCAACAGCTGGCTTAGTTGAAGGTGGTTTGATTTAATATTTACTTTTTATTGAGCCCAGAGTATGTAGAATTTGGTGTTGCATTGTAAAAATTAAGGAATTAATAAGGTTTTATCCAGAAGGATGCAAATTAATTTTTCTAGTACAAAATATGAACCTAAAATGAATGACTGAATTGTCCAGGAGGACATTGGTCAATTTTGTATATGATTTTTTAGTCTTCTTCCAGCACTTTTTCTTTCCCTGAATAAATCCATGTTTCATTTTCCTAAATCTTCCTCCAAAACTACCTTTGTCACCTTGCTTGCATTTATTAACTAATCAAAGCATTCTTTGACCTATTCATGAGCTCATGTGTAATTACATGTGAGTCATGTTTTTTAAGTTAAAGAATTATATGGTAACACTAGTCAATTTGTCCAAAGAGCATGAAATCAAACTCATCAGTAGTCATTCTGAAAATTGGAAACACAAACTTTAGACCATGAACTTTGAAGGAATCTGTGACGTAGTTAGAGTTCGCTGGAGTCTTCAATTTTGAAATAAGATTGAACATGTCTATGGACAACGAAGAGTCTATTCATATGAGCTTCAAGGGAAAGTTCAAGTTAAGAATGGATTCTTTAGAATGAACAATGATGAGCTCAGGGTAATCACAATAAGTTGAGGACATAGTCAAAATATTGCAATGTAATTGGATTTAAACTTAAGGTGAATACTATGGAGTGGCTAAATTTGTTTCATGGCATACTCTTCAAGTTCTGAAAATCTTGGTGGACAAAATGAAATATGCAGAATAAAATGTCAGGTCCAAATCTGTGAAGGAGCTGAAGAGAGAAAAACTGAAGAACAAGACATACTCAAAGGCTGGTAAGAGGAGTTGCTAAGAAAGGGGTAAAGGGGGCATGAGGCCCTAGGTTTGATTCTTTAGCACCACATAAGCAGAAAAAGCCAGAGTGGTGCTGTGGCTCAGGTGGTAGAGCGCTTGCCTTGAGCTGAAGAGCTGAGGAACAGTGCCCAGGCCCAGAGTTCAGGCCCCACAGACTAAAAAAAAAAGGACAGAAAAGAAAGAAGGAAAAAAGAAAGGGATAAAGGACAGACAGGAGATGACAGATTCTTTTTCTTTCACATCTTCCTACTAAGATGCCAGTGAGGTTCTGTCAGCATTTGGTGATAGTTAGTTAACATCAACAAATACTGGTAAAGGCCCCAATTTTGAAGAATTAGAAACTGCTCTTTCTTGATCAAAAATGAAGCTAATAATAACAGCCAGTTTACTAGCAGAGCCTGACTAAAAGAGTGCCCAACTACAGTGATGGGTTTTTTTATTTGTTTGTTTGTTTTGCTTTTTGTTCAGGACCGAGGGCTTGAACTCAAGGCCTAGATGTTGTCGCTAACCTATTTAGCTCAAGGATACTGCTCTACCACTTGAACCACAGCGCTACTTCTAGTGTTTCTTTCTTTCTTCTTTCCTTCCATACTTCCTTCCTTCCTTCCTTTCTTTTCTTTCTTCCTTTCTCTTTCTTTCTTCCTTTCTTTCTTTCTCTTTTTCCTTCTTTCCTTCCTTCTCCCTCTCTCTCTCTTTCTTCCTTTCTTCATTTTCTTTTTTATTTTTAGGTGGTTAATTGGAGATTAACTGGGCTGGCTTTGAACCTGAATCCTCAGGTCACAACTTCCTGCATTGCTGAAATTACAAGTATGGGTATGAACCACTGGGTCCTGGCTTTGTTGTTGGAGTTTTTTCCTTCTTCTTTTGTGCTGGTGCTAGGGTCCTCTGGCATTTCTCCTTGTTCACAGCTAGTTTTCTACTATTAG